TAGTAATGCATTATTATGCAATTATACAAAAAGGTTACTTATAAATGTTAGTAGATCTGCAGACATTATAGAAATTTCATTAATAACAATGACATTAATTTGATCATCAATTAATAAAACTCTGATTTTGCCAAATAGTAATGCATTATTATGCAATTATACAAAAAGGTTACTTATAAATGTTAGTAGATCTGCAGACATTATAGAAATTTTATTAATAACAATAACATCAATTTGCAAAAGTTGTTAGTAATGTTCTTGGTTATATAATGCTAAACTTTCAAAATTAGTAATTGATGGGTGAATTTTTAGGTAAGATTAAATAGTTTGCTATTAATATCTGAGTGGCAACTACAGCTAGAGCCATTATCAGAAATTTTTTGCATTGTGATTAAAGATAATTTATAATTAATTTAATCATATATGATTTACTTATACTTACCAAACTAGTCAAAAAAAATATGGAAAACAATGTTCATTTGCAACCCCTCAAGAGGATGCTAATATATTGAAAATTATATATTGGTCTGATAATGTTTCTAACAAAGAAAAATAAAGAACAGAAGAAGTATATTGTATTAGATATTCTAGTTGGTTATGAAGAATTACTATAATGTTTTGAAGCATATTATATTATTTATTATATTGTTTATTATCTGATGATAATTGTTCAAAAATCTAAAAATTGTATATTTAAAGATTAACAAACATAGTATATAGATATAGTATATTGTTCAGGAAATTTTGCTTAATAGTGAGATTGATAGTCTGGATATCAATCAAATAATTCTTGCTCATTCTTGTAAGTCAATTGAAGCAATAATTGTTGGCAAAAATAAGGTTTATCATTATCAGCTGTTTATGATAAAATCATACTAAGATAGATTTTTTTCACATTATTACATATCTTTTTTGTTGATCAATTCAATAAGTTGTACTTGAATTTGAAAAATTAGGTTGAATTCAGTAAAGTTGATGAAGGCATGGATACATAATATTGTGAAAAGTGGATCATCAGGTCTAAAAAAGTATTTATCAATTGCATCATCCTAGTAAAAATTAGAGTCACTGTTATTTAGTAAATAAATTAGTTTTACAGATTTTGTTTTTATGTTAGAAGGCAAAGATAGTAAATATTGAACAGCAATTGAAAATTGACAGATCAAATAACTAAGTAAAAGGATCATAAGCTTAATAAATGCAAGTCTTCTAGCTAAAATATGATATTGGTAAGCATTATGTTCTCTTAGTTCAAATAACTCAGATTATTCTGGTTTTATGATGTATTTGGTCATGTATATTGCAAAAGATTTAGAACTAATATATTAAAAATTATAATGACTTTGCCATAGTAGCAATATTGAAGCATGTTAAGAAATAATCCATCAGACTTTTTCGCTTGTTTAATGATAAATATAACATAATGAAGAAGAGTTAAAATAGGTACAATTTGATAAAGAAGCCAGAAATTTTTTATCACCTTGCTCTTTAAGAAGTGGTGAACCATTACATTTATCTAAACAACATCAATGAATTTATAAATACATACTAGTTGTAGAGAACTAACTTAGATTAAGGATTAGGCAAGTTAGCATGAATAATGCTATATTCTATTAAAAATAATGTTGGTAAACTAAGATAAGCTATACCATGTGTATGTATTGTTCCTATATTTTGAAATTTGTTTCTTTTAAAATAATGTAACCATTAACCTCATTCTGCTAAATTAGGTTTTTTTTATCATAATTTGTAAATTGAATTTAATTTATAATAGTAATAAAAATATGTATGCATAGGTCGATTTGATAATAAAGTAAGTACACAATAAAATTTTAATTAAATGACTCTAATGCTTTTTAGCCATTGTTATAGTATAAAAAATTTAAGACAAACTATGATTTTGAACTATCGCATTGACTAAGTATTCACATTAATGAAAGTAAGTATTTATTGTTATGATATGATACAATAGTAGTAGTTAATGTTTCACTTATAATTGGATGATTATTATAAATACTTCAATTAATCAAATCTGCAATTGTTAGAAATTGTTAATGATCAGTTATTTTTTGATATAACATTTATTGTTTGTTCTGATGGTTTCTTAATTTTTCTAGATTAATATAAGACCAATATGGCCAGTACTAATAAAGTCAAAAGTGTGGGCCTGGATATAATATATATAATTTGATATATTTACAATATATGTTAATTTTGTACTGATAATTTGATAATTCTTTAGAGAATTCTTCCTAGTAACTGTAACTATTAGAAAAGATATTTGGAAAAAAAATAACTTCTAAATTCAGATTATTATATTTAATTGAAAGATCTGTATTATCAGAATTTACTATAAACTCTGTCATTAATCTATTGTAATGATAGTCCTCATTATAGATTTCAGGATTAAAATTATGTATTAGTACAACTAAATCAGGTTGACAACACAAAAATGTATTGTTAACTATTAGGTTTTCTTGATTATTGATTAATCTAGTAAATAAAAAAGAAGCAGATATAATAATATTAAGAATGGATATAGTTATTTAATTAAACAGATGAAATAATAGATTATTGTTCTTTAGCCAATCAGCTGCAAACAATAAAGAATTATGAAACCAGTTGGTATTTACAGCAGAATCTAAGACTGCACCTAATGTTCCAGAGTATAAATATAAAGCATAAATGTTTCTTAATAAACCAAATTTACTAGTAAGATGATAGTAATCTATAAATTAATTTGCATGCTCTGCTTGGCCTAATGAACAATTCAAATAAATTGGAAAAAGCCATTGATAATAATACATTGGAACATTAGCCAGTTCTTCTGAAATTGGTGATAATAATAAAGTAGAACAATGTTTTGCCATAGTTTTATATAATGCACAAATTGCAATATGAGTTGGTTTATTAGGATGTCTTGTAAGAGACAAATGTAAAAAAGCTCTAAGAAGATTATAATATTTACTATTATCAAATTCAACCTATTTAGCTTGGTTAAAAAATATAAATATTGAGCAAAATAAACAGAGAACACATAGAAACATATATAAAATCACTTTTTAAAAATAATTATTAAGCTGATTTAGAGCTTTAGAAAGCTGCCATGACAAAGAAAATAACAGCACAAGGTTTAGTTGTGAAGTGGCAGATAAAAAAAGATTTTGGTTAGTAGTTAATAGCAATTCTTGGCTCAAAGAGAGATCAGTATTTATATTACTATAATTGCATTCATCATCATATATATTTTCAATTGTTGTGTAAATTATTTGATAATATATAATATGGTTAAAAATTTGTATAAAGTAAATTTTATAAAATCATATTACTGGCAAAGTTATTAGGTATTTATATTTTATATTCAGATATTCAAAAGCATTAATATAGTATATATTGTTTTATTTGTTCATGTCAAAGTATTTATTATTATTTATAAAGGTTGAGAGTTTTATATATGCAATTAATATATTTGTTAAAAATAATTATTTTAAAACTTATAAACTAGAAATTTGATTTGTATACAAGACAAAGAGCATTATAATAAATTTGTAACATTTTATTATTACAAATAGTATTTATTTTTTTTAAATATTAATAGTAAATAGTATTTATTTTGATAGATTCACAAACATATATTTAATAAGTAATGGAACTATTTAATCAGTTTAATTCTTAATCATCTGTGTCAAATTTATATTGGTTATAGGCAAGAATTACCTTAATGTTAACTAAGTTAAATAGTTGATACTATTAAATTGTTAAGAATATATTGTAAGATATATTTTTATTTACAAAAATTCATGTAATCTATAATATACATAAGTGTATTTTTGATATAAAATTCAAAATTTTTAATTTGAAATTAGAATTGATAAATTGTTTAAAAATCAATCTAAAGTTATGGGCAGAATTATATTGGTTATAGGTTAAAATTATTTAATATTAGTAGAATTAGTCAGTTAACAAGTTAAAATTAGAAAAATTTAGATAGTCTAATTTTTATGAGCAAAAATTTATTTTTTCTTTTTTGAATTATTATTCATGCTTTCTTTGTTAGTTCTTTTTTTTCTCTTTTTATTTATTAGTTTTTTTTGTTCTTTAACTTTTTCTTGTTCATCTTCTTGTCTGCTGCTATTATTATTATTTTTCTTATCATTCTTAATTACACCTCAATTTTAATACTTTTAAAACCTAGATTAAGCAAATCTAGTGCCAAATCAGATAATTATTTTTTTTCTTTTCTACTAAAGGTTATTTCAGTATTAGTACCAAAAGAATTTAGCTTTAGTGATATTACAGATAAAGGCAGGCATATGGCTTGGCTTGTAGAAGTATATATTATTAACCTTTGACATTTATTAAAAGTTTGTAAAGTGAATCTGAACTCATCAGTTATTGAAATAATATCTGAATAAAATTTTGAAGTAGTTAATAGTAAAGTTTTAGATATATTATTGTATTTAAAGTTAAAAGATAATAAATAGTTAATATCAGTTGCTTCTAATATAATAATATTAGGTTTTTCAAATATTTTTTTTTTTTGAGTATCCCTGTTGCTTTAGCAACTAGGGGTGCAAGTGGCACTCTTTATTAAGATATTATTATATTAGAATATTGTGAGCAATCTAAGTATATTTTAGATATTTACAGATTAGTTTAGCAGTTTTAGGTCCATGACCTAGTGTATTATGTTTTAAGACACATATTTTTTTTGAAATATAGGCTTTGATTAGCATACTAAGTGAGCTTAAGGGTGTATCAGAACCTCTCCATTTTAATGTAGTATATCGACACCAAATTTCATAGATTATATTAATATGTAACCAGGTTATAATGGTCAATGTTTGAGTGCATCCAATATTAGAAGCTTGAAAAACATCTTCTAATGTAGTCGGTAAAAGTTTTTCTTCATTAATATTAAGAAACTTATATGCCTCTTTCCAGATTATTCTGCTTCTAGGGCATTCTAAAGCAAAATGTTCAAGGGTTTGTAGCTCTTCAGAGCACTAAATACAATCATTTGTTTCTGATGATCCAATATGTTTGAAATGATAATCTAAAGAAAGAGCTCTGTGAAAAAGATGCCAGAAAATATCTTTTTTCTTATTACATATAGGTTTTAAAGAAAGCCAGATAGGTAGAGTAGGCTGAATTGCAGAATGAACTAAAATAGGAGAAGATGTAGTCTTCTTTAAAAGCTCCAAGATTTTTTTGACTGAGAGCACATCTCCTTTTATTTCTTTGATTATAATTTCTTTTTTATCCCAAGGCCAATTAGTAGTAGCAAGGATCCTTCCTTTAGTTCTTGTCCAGGCTAGTAAATAGGATTTCCATTCTGTGGGCCAAGCTTTTGAATGAATATTATCAGAGCTTAAAATCTAGATAGGAGAAATATTTCTTTTTTTTTGAGCATTGTGTATATTTTGTCTCTTTCATATGCTGCCTATATTAAGCTTGAAGTAAGAAGTTTTATCCAGATGGAGATTAAGCGAGCATCTAACATATCCTTAATAATTGGTGCTTGAAGATCTGCCAGATCTATAGATTGTTAAAAAGTAGAATATCTGGGAAGTATTTGTAAGAAGCCTTTAATCCAGAAGGAGATAATTCTGTTTATTTCTGCTACTTGCTTTCTGTTAGAAGGTAGCAAGTAAGCTGAATATCAGGTTTTAGATTGAATTAGAGAGTTTGCAATAAGAATTTTTTTCTTGAAGAAGAGATTTCTATTTGAAAATTTATCAAGTAATTCTTTTAGTTTGTTAATAGTTGTAGTCCAAAGGTCTTTTTTTGGTTGACTATTTGTGAGAACCTTATAGCCTAGAATAGTAATAGTGTCCTGTTCCTCTAGTTTAGTAAACTGGTCTTCATTACAGAGTTCTCCTCTTCATGCAGTAGAAGTGAGAGGAACTAGTTTTGTTTTTGCTTTATTGATTTTTGTATTTGATGCAGCCTTATATAGGCTTAATGAAGATTGTATTTTATTCTAGTCTGAAGGAGATCCAATTCATATAGTCAAGTCATCAGCATATGCTGAAGTTTTGAAATGTAGGTTTTTTAGATTGATTCTTTGCATTTGTCTTTCTAGAGTTCTTATAAGTAGCTCAAAAGCTAGTACATATATCAGAGATGAAAGAGGATTACCTTGTCTAACACCTCTTTCTACTCTAAAAGGTTTAGAGATATAACCTGCCTTAACAATATGGGCTTCTTGGCAGAAAAAAAGATTTTGAACCAAACTAATAAATTTAGAATCGAAGTTTATGCTTTTTAAAGTAAGCTTTAAAAAGTCATGACTCACTCAATCAAAGCTTTTTATTGGTTCGAAAAAAGCAGCCAGTATTGCTTAAATGAGTTTGATTGGTTTTTCATTGTGGTGATAATATCTAAAGCTGCATCTGTAATTAATCTGTTTTGTATAAATCCATGTTACTGATATGATATAAGTTCTTTACAAATAAAATTCAAACAGTTTGCTATAATCTTCATAAATATTTTGGCATTACGATTTACTAAAGAAATGGGTCTTCAATTGTTTACATTTTCTAGATCTGTTATTTTTTTTGGTATCAAGAAAATCATACTTTTGCACCATGAGGTTGGCATAATTACTGAGGTTAAAGCTCGATTAAATGCTTTGTACAGAATTGGAGTTATAGCCTCTTCTGTGAGTTTGTAGAACTCATATGTTAGACTATTAGTACTTGGTGTTTTGTTGTTTGGAAGGTTTTTAATGACATTATTAATCTTCTCTTGAGTAATTTCTTGCATAAGTACTGAATTATGAGCTGATGAAGCTTGAGGCAAGTTTTCTGTAATTTTTTTAGTTGAGTTAATATTTATGTCTTTTTTCATATATATCTTGGCATAAGTGTTTCTAATATATTGGAGAGTATTTTCAGTTGAATGTGATAAAGTCTCAGGATCCTTGATGGTTTTCAAAAATGAGTGAGCTTTTCTAATTTTATATCTAGCAAAAAAATATTTTGTTGATTTTTCATCTTGCTCAATCCATTGTGCTTTTGAACATATTTGCCATTTTTCTGTAAAGTGTAATAGTTTGTTTTAGAGATCTAGGCTTAGTTTGTCAACTTGATTATATAGGAAAGAGTTTTCTGAGTTATGTGCTAGTCTTTTCTTTAGTTGGGTTATATTTTTGTTTAGTTTTGCAATCTTGTTTTCTACAGCTTTTGGTTTTCTAAATGCTCTTATAATAGATTGTATATGAACTTTACAGAAGTCCTAGTCATCTGTTTCTTCAAATGCAATAATTTCATCAAGTACTTCTTTTTTCAGTTTTTCATTTATAAATAGTTTTTGTTAAATCTCCAAAGAGCTGACTCTCTTTTTTCAGTTTTAAAACAAAGAGTGATTCTACTAAAAAATGATCTAAGCTGCCAAACTTTGTATTAATTTGTGAAATAAAATGAGCATTATTTTTATCAATAAAGATATAGTCTAAATGAGTAGCCATTGTATGATTGCCTTGTGTTTTTTGGAAGAATTTGTGAAGGGACTTGTTTTTGCAAAATCTGAGGAATCTGTAAAGTTTCTAGTAAGGTTTAGAAGTTGCACTCTTGTTGGGTTTCGCTGAAGTACTGCCTTACTAGTTCTATCTTTTTCTGAATATAGATTGGTATTGAAGTCACCTCCAATTATGTTGATAGCATTTTTATTGATTTGGAGTACCCATTTCTCGAAAAAAAGTTTTCTATTATTAGGGTTCAGAGGAGCATATATATTGGAGACTTGGAATGTAAGATCTTTAAATTTGAAATTAATAGTAATAATTCTATAATCTATATTCATTTTTGTATCTTTAAATATTATATCTTTGTTGCCTATGAGTATAGCTGTCTTATTTGTCCAAATTAAGTTAAAAATCTACTGGTTTTTCAGAAAGCTTTGCATGTTTTTGTCATTTAAGTTTGTTTCTTGTAATTTAATAAGGTCTAGTTTGTAAGATTTTAAAAGAGTTAAAGTATTTTATTGTTTTTGTTAATTGTTTAGCCCTTTTACATTAAGACTTGCAATTTTAAATTTGAATTGTCACGTTATATTATGAATAGAGTAATACAGATATTAGATCTGTGAGTTTTGTGCACCATTAAAAGATTTCTTGTATGGAGCTAGCCTAGTTGTTATGATCTTCTGATTTGTAAGATCATTCTTGTTTTTTTTATCTTTTCTTTTTCTTTGTGGAATTAGAGTAAATCTATTATCAGAAATTCCAGATTGGGTTTGTTGAGTATTATCATTCATAATTAGCATAACTGGTGTGCTTAGAGAAATAGGATGTTCTATTTCCAAAACATGATCTGTTGTTAGATTTTCTATATTAGGAGCTTCATTGCTAGCATCATTAATATCTTCATCAATTGGACTATCTAAATCTTTTTCTATTAATGTTGAGTTATTTGTTTTCTCATTCCCATTAGTATTAAAGGTATTAGGGAAAATTTCTTCTGATTGTGAATTATTAATATTTATTTCTTCTATAAGATTATTTTGTTCTTGTTGATCTGTATTCATATTTTTTAAGTTTGCTAAAGAAAGCTTTTCTTTCTTTTATTTAAAGAAAATTATTATAGTGATGATGAAGTTCAATAGCTTCCTTGTATTGGGTGCAGTTTTTTTGATATGCCCTTCATTATTACAGAAGTAGCACAGCTTGGGTGCTGCACACCACTCTGTAGTAACTTTGTTATCTAAAATAATGTAGAATCGAGAGATCTTTTTTTCTAAGTCTGAGTTTTCTGTGGTCTTGAAGGTAATAATCTATTGATCAGTTAGTAGGAAGTGCCTTCTATTAAGAGTGGCTTGATTGAGGCAATTTTATCAAAATTTTCGAAGGCATTTTTGATTCTATTTGAAATAAATTTCTTGTAACCTAAAGAAACATTTTTGATTTTAACTGATAAAAAGGATCTTCTAGTGTTGAGAGGAATATGTCCATAGTATGTGTGATTAAAAATTTCAATTCCTTTTGTAGCATAATGCTTGAGCTTTTCTCATTTGTAAAAAATAGTTCTAGGTGAGTACGAGATCCTCTATTGACATGTGGCTTAGCAGCAATTATGTCTTATCCATCTGTCTCATAAAGAGAAATCATAATATTATTTAGTGAATTATTTAGATTATGAATGTCTAAAATGAGAGCATTATTATTTTTAGACCTGACGTTGTTTTTTGGTAAGAATAAAGAGAAGGTTGATTGTTCTTTCTTGACTTTTGCGAATAAGCTTGACTATGGTTTGTTAACAGCCTTTTTGCTTTTGTTTATATCTGTTGCATTAGATTTTGCATGAGACATGTTGTTTTGTTCAATATACGGAGTTGTTGTTGTTTTGTCTTTCAGGATGCATTTTGGAACTAGACATGACTGTAAAGTTGTTTTAATTCTTATTTTTTCAGAAGCTCTAGTTTCATTTTCTAAAGTAACTTGCTCATCCTAGCTAATGTTGTTTTTAGAGTCATATTGCATATAGTCAGCTAAGACTTTGTGACTAGTTTGTGCTGTCATAGTATACTCTTTAAAAGAAGAAATAGTTTCAGTTATTGCTAGTTGTTTTTTTGTCAAAAAGTTTGTTGTTAATTTGTTTTTCTTGTTTTTGTAGACTTCTATAATAAAAGTCTTGCACTTTTTGGGAACAAGGGGAAGAGCCCCTGTTCTGCTACTGTTTTTGAAGTTAGTGAAGTCCTATGTAGAGTATATTTTGTCTTTTTCAAAAATTGACTTCTTTTCTAAATATAGTAGTCAGAAGAGAGAAATTGTTGATCCTAAAAGTAGATGGTTTTTCAAATTTGATAAAACCAGATACTATAAATAAACAATCTTAATATGATTATATAAATGGTTAAACCTAGTAGACTGAGTAGAATAAAAAACTATCAGTTCCATATAAGTTTTGTAAGCTGTAAATAAATTGTAAATATAACATTCAGCTCCAAAATAGACAACATTATTACAAGTTTTTGGATTATATTTATTTTTTATAAGGAACATGAAATGCAGAACACAAAAAGAAATTTTATCAGTTTTAAATCCATTATTAGGATTTCTAATATCAATTATAATAGCATAAACAACTGTAATATATTCAATCCTGTCTTTAATTGTAAAATTCTCTACAAAATATAGTAAATTATCTGACAAGTATTGTAAATGTGATTTATTAAACAGATGAAAATATTTACATCTGATTTTTGAAAAACACACATATCTAATTGATATTTTGCTAAACCTTGTATAAAAGATGATTTGTTATTTTTTGCAACTATAACAAAAATCAAAGAAGTATAAGAAGGCATTTTGATTTAAAAATTAGCTAAACAAAAATATAACAAATGAGAAATTACATAATTGTAGTTAAATTTAAAGGACAAGCTAGAATAATACTTTTTTTACAGGCATTTGAATCTTAAATAACTTTTAATTTTATATTCTAGACTTAGGTTTTTCATATCATGACAATTAATGTATATTAATATATTAAATTACAATAAAAATCTATATTTACTAGCTAAAATATAAAAACATATATTGATATATCAGGACAAATTAACAATTAAAAATATTTATTTCTCTAACAAAAATAAAGTATGTTGTTGTCTTAATGATAAATAGCTATAAAAAAATTTTTCATAAATAACAATATATTAAAATCAACAAATGTTTAATTTTAAATTCATACAATTGCTATAGGTTGTTAGAAGCTGGCTCAACTTTTACTGAAAATGCTGCACAATCAACATAATACAAAACATTTTATTTCTTCATTTATTATTAGCAAAAATGCAAAACTGTTGATAAATATAAGAAAAAGCATAAACATATAGAATTCATCAAACTTAATAAATGCAAAAAATGAAAGAAATATAATTAATCAAAACATACTTTAATGAAACAATTTTATAAAAATCAAGAATTAAAAAGGCTTAAATGAAATACTGTGCTTAAATAAATCTTTCTTTCTTTAATTAATCATCTATAAACTGGTCAACATACTTCTATTATTATTATAGTTTCACTAAACCTTAAATCTTATTATTGAAATAAGCTATGAATTGAACTAAACTTGATTTAAATTACCAAATCAAGGTCAAATTGATCATCTACAAAGATGCTAAGCCTCTAAAAAAAAAAACTATAAATACAATATGGATTTGGTAAAAAATTTTTGATAACTGCACTAGAACTAATGCATATATAATGCACATATTTGCAAAGTACAAGTACATACAAAAATGTCAGAACAAACAATTTTCTTTTTTGTTTAAAATAGAAAAGTGAACTCACAAAGAAACACAAAAACACAAACCAGCAAATTAAAATGCATTTGCTCAAACAAATTCAGAAATAAACAAAAAACAAATATCAAACAAAATCTTAATATAGTTAAATTAACTAATTTATTTAATAATCTCCTACAATAATAAAATCTAAACTATTAATTTGTTTAATCCTAGTTACTCAACTATGTCTTTTCACACCTTAATATAAATCTTCAATTAAAATTTTATTACTATTGTGAATCTGATTTTTGGAATCATAGACATCTGAATCAAGATGACAATTCATATCTAATTCCAGGTTACATAAAAAGTAATAGAAATATTATTTATCTTACTTCTGTTACTTCTATTACTTATGCTACTTCTGTTACTTATAAGATAAATGAGATTTATTAAATAAAATTAAGATATAAAGGATATTATATTTATGATAGAAGTTAATTACCAATATAAATAAAATGTTTATTCTAAATAAAGAGCATTTTTGCTTGAGAAAAAAGAAAAATCATCCTATATACCAATAATTCTCATACTTTTAATAATGAATTCTCTAATAACAATAAATATTTGACTCTTAATAAAAGTAAAAGTCTACTTTATACCAAATAATAAACTATTATAAACCCTATTATTAACTTTATCATCCATTTGTAAACTACTAAACATGCTGTTAATTATTTGACTTACCCAAGTGACCAAGAAGCCTGTTAACAGTATAGAAGAGTTTTACACCAATCTGCATAGAGTAATTCTGAGTTGAGACATACAAGAGAAGACACAAAAAGGCAAGAGAAAGCAAATGTTAATTGAAGAATAATAGGTTGAAGAAAAAAACTTAAGAAGAAGACAAATACTTATCTACAAATAAAAATCTAACATGCCTATTTTGACTTAGCCATTATAGGTTATATAAAAGTTGAATTAGAGTAGCAACCAAATTGTCAAGTCCTAAATCATATTTGGTGGTGACTGTAATATATGAAAAAAAGAAAGACTAGAGTTAATAAAGTGTATATTCCAAAACAAGGTTAAATGAAAAAAGATATTTATCAAAAAAAGAAATTCTACTGCTCTGTATTTCAAGAAGACTCCAGAATAGTAAAAAGCCTCAAAATAGCATAAAAAAGAAAGACTTGATATTTAAACAATAATAAAAGAAAAAATATAAAAGTTAGTAAAAATTTGAGTATGAAAGAGTTAAAAAAAAGAGGGGTGTGGCAATCTAGTGAAATAGATAGGTTGTCAACTCCCAAGTGGCAGGTCTAGAGTTCAAATCTTAGTGATAACAAAAATTTGCAATTCTTTCTATGTTAAAGCTAACTGTCTTCTGTGATTGGTTGAAATAAGATACTTGTAACCTGTGTCATACCAGCATGACTGGAAGGTCTAGGCATTTGTACAATGTTGTACGAGAGAACACAAACTGGTACTGGGTGGTATGATCCAAGATAAGTCCTTAGGCTATGCAAATCACAGAAACCAGATAGGAAGATGGAAGCCTACTTGGAAGACCCAAGTAGAGAGATAACCTGTATCTTCAACAGTGCTACTATAAAGACTAGACTTATGAAACAGAGCTAGAACTTGTAAAACAGGCAAATGTGCTGGTTTTTGAGAAAGGACCAAATGAACCAACCAGGCCATCAAAATTTCCAGGTTCTGAAAGAAAAAGGAACATGCCAGCAAACATGTGAACCAGAGGTGTATGGTTTCGACCTATCTTTCAAGACTATCTGGAATAACAACTTAGTAAAACTTGAATTGAATACCAAAGTAGTAAAAATATGTTGTAAAGTCAGTACTGGGGTTGGGATGAACTCTACAAAGGCATAGCAGTTTAATGGTACATCCTGACTGCCAGTGTTAGTCTCAACCATGAGATACAGAAGATTCTGGAAGGTTTAGTACAAGGTTAATGATTTCCCATATGAGTAAACTGCTTTAAAGACTTAGTGGTCATGGCATATTTTCACTAGTATCAGCTGGGGTCATTAGTAGGCAGAGATAGATGGATGAATATAGAAACAGAGTGATTAAATAGGGAAACTACAAGTAGGTTCCAGGTATGGCAGCTAGTATAGAACCTTCAGGTAGACTACTTAAATTAGACAAAGACTAAAATTGTACAAGTGACTAGTTGTATACTCTTCCCATGGTTTCTCCCTGTAGTTGTAAAGTATCAATTAGCCAAATATACTACTAATAAAATCCTGAGTTGCAAGTACTCACCTTAATATTTTTTTTTTTTAAAAAAAAAAGAGTTAAAAAAAAAATATGCAAAGCTAAAACAATACTTATCCAAAAACAAGCTATAAAGTTCCAAGAAATTATTGATAAAAAATTTGGAAATTATGAAATTAACAATAAACAAATTTCAAAGGCTCTGGAATTTGTTTTAAAAATATTAGAAAACATAACTATGAACAATAAAAAAAATATCATATACATACCTACAGATATAAATATTAGCTCTAGTCCAACTATATAAAAAAAAAAAGCTAAAAAAAATAGAGAAAGGAAAGTAATGGTGTCTGAAGTTCTTGACACCTATTATAACTCTGATAAACTTGTAGAAAAGCCTCTTGATAGTGTTGTCTTTGCTCTAAAGAAGAAAAACCAACTTAAATCTTCTTCTTCAACAGCTAATTGCTAAATATGAAGCTTTTGTACAAAAATAGATTTTAGAAAATGTTATCTAAAAATCCACACAAGAAATTGACTTGGCCAAAGTGAAATTTGAAAAAAATAAAGATTCAATGTTTGATTTTATCTAAAAATTTGCTAATATGAATCACATTAATGAGATGAAAAATACTGATAATTGTTATTATAATAAAATTAAAGTTGAAAAAGATAACTGTAAGCCTTGTGAACAGTATTATTGAAATAGAATTAGAGCTGAAAAGAATAACCAAAAAGCTTTCAAACATTATCAAAAATCTACAAAGATAGCAAATGCTAATGAAACTAGAAAAGTTCAACATTGTTATTAAATAGAATCAGAGCTGAAAAGAATAACCAAAAAGTCTTTGAATATTATCAAAATCTACAAAAATAGAAATGCTGATAAAACAAGAAAAGTTTGATATTGTTATCAAAATAGAATCAAAACTGAAAAGAATGAAGATAAAGCTTTTGGACACTATCAATAATCTGCAGAAATAGAAGATGCTGATGCAACATATTATGTTAAACCTTGTTATCAAAATGGAATTGAAGTTTTAAATGATAAATGTAAAGCATTCAAATACTTTCAAAAAGTTACTGACATAAATCATATAGAAAAAAACCTTAATGTTAGCTATTGTTATGAAAATGGAATTGAAGTTGAAAAGGATAGCCATCCAGTATTAGATGATGATAATGATAATATAATCTGTAATGAAGACAATAATAAAACTGAAATCAAAAAAAATGCAGACTAGAAACTATCAAATGTTCTATCTTTTAAACTTAAAAGGTTTGAAGCTGCAAATAATTGACTGCTTTATAGGCTTAAACTATCTGCTTTCTGAATAATTTGTAAAAAAATAGATAGATAAAGTAAGTAAGTACAGAATAATATACAAAAAGAATTGAAAAAAGAAGTATTATATCTTTCTAAACTTGATGAACCAACAAATCAATCTAAAAATGAAAAACTAAAGACAAGAAGAATCAGAAAGTTTGTCAAATATGTAGAGGATTCAAATATAGAAGAAAATCAATCATGTATATAGAAATTAAAGCTGAACTGAAAGTGTAAAAGAATAAGGCTAAAGACTGATGTCTAATCTAATAAACTAAAAGAAAAATCATAAGAATTAGAAAAATAAAAGCAAGATAAAGAAAAAAATAGTCAAAAGAGTTAGTTAAATTACCTTTCAAAAGAAGTTAATGCTGAAAGAACCTAAACCAATATTACCAAAAAAGAGGTCAATAAAGTTCAAAATGTGGGTGAAATCTGAGAAAGCTGTAGAGTTGATGCAAGATAAAAGAAGCAAAGAAACAACAATGCAAATTGAACTGAAACCACT